AAAGTCCTGATTTGTCTCTCTTGAATGACAGGAGTCTACATCAGCTGACTGGACTCCATGGTCTGACCCATTTGGGAGAAATCTCCCCTTAGGAGGAAAATTTTGGTACTTTGTATCCCATATTCGGTGAGGCAGGAAATCTTTGTGGGCTGGTGCTTTCTTTGGTTTCATTCAAGGTATCCACATCTTCTAGCAAAATTTGATGCTCACATTGGTATCATCTCCAGGGACTAGGCCTTACTTAAGACTTCCATTAGCACCTATCCTATGTATTAAAACCTGTTAGTTTCCATTATCCCTTTGAGATTTATGATCCTGGCACTCCGTTGCTGAATTGAGTGTGAGCGCTTATGTACTATGAGTACATAACTATGAAGCAGCCTCCACTCCTCCTTGTGATCAGGGTGCCCAACTTTTATAATAGGTAATTCTCCAAGCAAAATGCATGCCATACATCTTTGCATCCTATCTCCTCTTCTTTTCCTCTCACTACCCCAAGCCTTTTTTCAGTCCTGCATCATAGTAGCCACGATTAGTTAGTTGCCTCTAATGCTGGAGTTCCTTCTGTGAATTCAGCCTCTTAGCCGAGAACTGTTTCCTTCCTCGCTCATCATTCACCTTAGCTCATGACTCACTCCTCAAATGGAACTGCTGTTCCTGCTTCCAAAGCTTGTTTCCAGTGTCTGGGATGCAGCCAGGACCGATACACCCACAGACCCACTCCAGCCCTCAGAGAGGTCTAGGGAGGGGGCAAGTACCATTAGACTGTTGCTACTTGGAGTCTAAATTCTTCCCCTTCGTTCTCCAAGCTGTAAGTAGTTTGTTCACCGAGGCTCATTTCTGTCCAGTATATTTTGCTCAAATTCTCGTTTCCTTTTGGAATTGAGCTTCCTGAGGGACCCGAAGTTCACCTCTAACCAAATGACTGGATTATGGATACGTATTGAATGGCCATGTATTTCCCATCTTCAGGGTTTGAGTTGGCAAAATAGGAAGTTGGAAGTTTAAATACCAGTTCTTCTTCACTCATAAAATGTCTCATTATAAAGGCTGATTCACATGACAGTATCTCAAGATAGAGCTGTATTATTCAAAATATTCTTAAAGTTTTAGGTCACAGCTTTAATGAAGTTTTTTTTGTTTGTTTGTTTTTTACTTACCTCTTATATTTTAGAATCTAAACTATTTCCATGTGTGCAATTGTGGTGGATTTACTGAATTACCAGAGAGGCAAGTGAGTGCCTTATCACCTAAAATGGGCAGACTCAGAGACATGCCTCAAAGTCCAAACAAGACCTTTCCTTGCTGACAAAATATGTGCTTTTATTTCCACCCAGGTAACAAGTTACATCAAAGAGCAGACTCAAGAACAGTGTCAGATGATCATCATTTCCTTAAAAGAAGAGTTCTATTCCAGAGCTAATGCGCTAATAGGCGTCTATCCAGAGGTAAAGCTAAATTACCGGGGAGAGGAGAAACTGCTATAAACCCACTTAGTACTGCTATAGCTACAGGCCTTTCCTTTTATACCTAAAAGTTCCAAATGGAGTTTGTAGAAAACGTTTGACTTCTGCAGTAAATAAATATAGGCTGAAATGATTTTTTAATCAAACAAAACTCAAAAGTAACTATTCAGATATTTACCTATGACAGTTACATGGAGATTTAAGATATATCTTAAGTGAAAGAAGCAAATTGAAAATTACAGAATAGTAATAGTTCTGTCTCGTAAAATAATAGTACACATTAACTTACAGAGAGTAACCTGTTAATATTATAGTTGATATTTCTGTCATGTTTGAATGTTTTAAGCAAAAACAAATTCACCGTGGTAGAACAAAGAACCATTTATCTTCCAAAAGTATCATAGGAAAAAACAAAAGAACCCACTACAAGTTCCAAGTTGATAGTGACTTTTATTTTTTATTTTTTATTATTTTTTTTTTATTTTTTGTCTTTTTCCGTGTC